ACCACCCGCACACAAAACGCGCAACCCTCAGGGAGGCACCATTAATCTTAATGGCACGCCGCCCGCACTGGAAACTGCTCCCATACTGGGAACCACACTGTAGTGTGGTTCCCAGTGCGATTTCTGGAACCTTTTTCATGCGTTTTGCAAGGTACAACAGCACATTCAAATGAATGGGCTGCCATGTTGCATCCTGCTAAACTGCACTAGTGTGAACCGAGTGTTACACAGGGCTGTCTTTCATGAATCAAGTGCAGGGGAATGAAAACTATGTAAATATTGCCTGTTGCGGAGAGGACCATTACATTGAAAAAAGTATCCCTTATCTGCTCACTTTCAACTATAGATCCTTAGTTTGTTTTGAAACTGACTTTCCCTACACCAACCCTGAAGCTATTTAAAGCACACGGAGATATCCAGATATACCTGTACAACAAGACAGGGCCGGTTCACACCATGTCCACATATGAATCATACAGGAACATGCTATGCATCCCTGTGCAATTCACACGTGGTTCTGTATGGTGCGATTGCAGTCCATGCATTTTGACTGGGCTAAAATCGCACCGCACCAAAGTAGTGAGTGCACTACTTTTTAAAATTCACTGCAGCCAGATTGAATGGTAAAGTACCATGCGGTCCAGTGCGGGCAAATGCATTGTGTTTGCAACCTGCATTTGGGGTGTCATTAGCTTTTTATTGGCACCTGCTGCAAATTGCAAATGGAGTGCATTTTGCATGCGGTTTGAAGAGTTCCTGTGCGATTCACGTGCAGGCATGGGGTGAAGCGGTCCTAAATACTTTCCCATTGCTCGTCCCACTGGACTCCACTTTGAAGCTGAGGAATCGTCCCTGGAAGTCAACTGGCAAACCATCACCTGGTCCTTCAAAGCTCCCACTGGTTCTTCCGGCTTACCTTCACCCTTTACAGGATCCAGTAGTGAGATGATCCTCAGCAGGAGGAACCAGTGAGTGCTGCAGGAGACCTGAGGAATGGAGACTCCCGGAAGTATTGGGTTCCTAGCATACTTCAGTTTCACAGCATTGGAACAGAGTTTGTTGGTAGAGGCAGCCGGAAAGGTAAGTATCTACTGTCTTCATTTGCAGGTATGGCTTTGCTAAGTGTGATATGTATAGCGTCATGGTCGCTTTAAACTGGTAATCTACATTACAGTGTGAAAATACAATCTCTAAAGGCGGCCATACAGGTATTGAATTGTAGTCAATCCCTATGGACGGGCAGATTTAAACAGACGGATCGGAGGTAGCCTGATGTAAAATGTGTTTTTATTTCGTAAACAATTCTCCTACATTTTAGGTCTCATGCACACTAGGTGCTTAGTACATGTGCTTCCAATCCTGGCGTTTTCAGGTGCCTGGGATGCATAGGTATAGCATCAATCCCTGCTGCCAGCAGCCTGTCAGAATCTATGATTTATGCGGTAGATGATCACCATACCAAGTGGTGCTTGTGTTCAGGGCTGTATGAGGTCATGGAGGTATGCTGGGAAGGGAGAACCCCTGTGTTCCAGGCATACGTCCCTGAGTGCATATGACCATAATTACCAGTACCACTTGGTACAGCGTCCAGCTGACATGTATTTCAGCCAATCATAGATTTTGACAGGCTACTGGCACCAGGGCTGGACATTTACACCTGTAGATACCAGGAGCCTGAAAACACCAGGATTTGACGCACATGGTCTAAATGCCTAGTGTGTATGAGGCCTAAAATGCAGTAGAATTATCTGGGAGGTATAAACAAACTTTATGCCGCCCAGATCACTATTCCTTGCATTTACATGTGTTCAGAGTATTTAGTCTGCCCCTGGGCCCACAGAATTCTATTTCCTCTAAATGCAGCCATACTGAATGCACCTAAACACAGGTAAACGCACGGTGTGAATTATAGCATTTACAATCATTAGAGGCATTTATATTAATTTAAAAACGTCCTATAAACACATGTATGTTCCTGCCAGTGTGAATGAGGTCTAAACAGTAACATTAATTACATATAGTAACAGTAACGGGTGTGCAAAATCATACCGAGCATCTTCGATGGGGAGGAGGACTGTTTTGTTTACTAACAGTCCTCCTCCCTGTCAGCTGGGGCACACTGCTCTTACAGTGAATCACACACACCCTGCCCCCCCAGTAAAACACTCCCTGCACACAGTTAGCCCTTTGATTGCCCCTCATGTTATCCCCTTCCTGCCCAGTGCCATTAGTACAGTGTCAGTAATTTTTTTTATAACACTGATCACTGTATTGGTGTCACTGGGGATGTCAGTGCCACCAAGTCAGTTCCTTCCAGTGTCATAATGTTGCCACAGTCCCACTATAATTCGCTGATCGCTGCCATTACTAGTAAGAAAAAAAAATTTCAGTATCTATACTGCCATTTGTAAACACTATAACTTTCTCGTAAACCAATTAATTTACACGTATTGGGATTTTTTTGTTAGCAAATACATGTAGCAGACTACATTTTGGCCTAAATTTATGATGAAATTTGATTTTTTTAAAAATTTTTTAATGGACATGTTTAATAGCAAAAAGTCAAAAATATTGGTCTTTTTTTATAGCACAAAAAATAAAAAAAACACATGGGCGATCAAATACCACCAAAAGAAAGCTCAATTTTTTGGGAAAAAAAGGACGTAAATTTAATTTGGGTGCAGCGTTGCATGACAAACAATATATATACATATATATATATCGTGCAAAAGTTAATTTATTTCAGTAATGCAACTTAAAAGGTGAAACTAATATATGAGATAGACTCATTACATGCAAAGCAAAATAGTTCAAGCCGTGATATGTCATAATTGTGATGATTATGTCTTACAGCTCATGAAAACCCCAAATCCACAATCTCAGAAAATTAGAATATTGTGAAAAGGTGCAATATTCTCGGCTCAAAGTGTCCCACTCTAATCAGATAATTAAGCCATAATACCTGCAAAGGGTTCCTGAGCCTTTAAATGGTCTCTCAGTCTGGTTCAGTAGGAATCACAATCATGGGAAAGACTGCTGACCTGACAGTTGTGCAGAAAACCATCATTGACACCCTCCATAAGGAGGGAAAGCCTCAAAAGGTAATTGCAAAAGAAGTTGGATGTTCCCAAAGTGCTGTATCAAAGCACATTAATAGAAAGTTATGTGGAAGGGAAAAGTGTGGAAGAAAAAGGTGCACAAGCAGCACGGATGACCGCAGCCTGGAGAGGATTGTCAGGAAAAGGCCATTCAAAAGTGTTGATGACTTTCACAAGGAGTGGACTGAGGCTGGAGTCAGTGCATCAAGAGCCACCACACACAGATGGATCCTGGACATGGGCTTCAAATGTCGTATTCCTCTTGTCAAGCTGCTTCTAAACAACAAACAATGTCAAAAGTATCTTACCTGGGCTAAAGAAAAACAGACCTGGTCTGTTGCTCAGTGGTCCAAAGTCCTCTTTTCTGATGAGAGCAACTTTTGCATCTCATTTGGAAACCAAGGACCCAGAGTATGGAGGAAGAATGGAGAGGCACACACTGCAAGATGCTTGAAGTCCAGTGTGAAGTTTCCACAGTCTGTGTTGATTTGGGGAGCCATGTCATCTGCTGGTGTTGGTCCACTGTGCTTCATTTAGTCCAGGGTCAATGCAGCCATCTACCAGGAGATTTTGGAGCACTTCATGCTTCCTTCCGCAGACGAGCTTTATGGGGATGCCGACTTAATTTTCCAGCAGGACTTGGCACCTGCCCACACTGCCAAAAGCACCAAAACCTGGTTCAATGACCGTGGGATTACTGTGATTGATTGGCCAGCAAACTCGCCTGACCGGAACCCCAGAGAATCTATGGGGCATTGCCAAGAGAAAGATGAGAGACATGAGACCGAACAATGCAGAAGAGCTGAAGGCCGCTATTGAAGCATCCTGGTCTTTCATAACACCTCAGCAGTGCCACAGGCTGATAGCTTCCATGCCATGCTGCATGGAGGCAGTAATTGCTGCAAAAGGGGCCCAAACCAAGTACTAAGTACATATGCATGCTTATACTTTTCAGAGGTCCGATATTGTTCTATGTACAATCCTTGTTTTATTGATTGCATGTAATATTCTAATTTTCTGAGATTGTGGATTTGGGGTTTTCATGAGCTGTAAGCCATAATCATCACAATTATGACAAATCACAGCTTGAACTATCATGCTTTGCATGTAATGAGTCTATTCCATGTATTAGTTTTACCTTTTACGTTGCATTACTGAAATAAATTAACTTTTGCACAATATTCAAATTTTTTGAGTTTCACCTGTATATTTAAAAAAAAAAAAAAAAAAAAAGGGCAAACTCGATAGACCAAATCGGTCTTTTATCTGCCATGACTTTTCTATGTTTTCTAAATAAAGCGAATGCAGAAGGCTAGTGTGAATGTAACCTAACCCTTCCTCACTGTCCAAAGCCAAAAAAATAAATGTTTAGTTGGATATAAACTTTAAATAAAACAGAAAATAATAAATATAGTAGCAATACATTTACATTGACTTCAAATATGTAAATGTTTTTGCCACATTTTTAAAGTACCTTAGATTGTACTCCCCTTGAGGGTTAAGGACTGATGTGAATGTACAATATATATGTAAAGTGCTGCGTAAATTTACTGCGCTATATAAGTACCTGAAATAAATAAATAGAAAAAGTACTGATAGACTAACTTCATGAATTCATTATACGCATTGGTGCAGCAACCACACACAAGACTCGTCTACCTGACTACAAGTGATGCAGTGCAGCAGCCAATAGGATAGCTAGATTCCTCCTAGACAAGCGAAGTTCTGCCCAGCATTATTCGGGTATTTCCAGGACGTGAGTTGGATAAAAATATCACTTTCACTTCTCAATGTTTTTTCTCTAGTCCTTATTGCAGCTGCAAGCCAGTCCAGCGCAGCATTTGGCTTTGATCTCAGCAGCAAGAGTCCAGAGAGAAGAGTGTGCAGACTACCTATCAGAAGATGGAAGATGAGAGCCAGAACCTGGTCCAGAATGAGGAGACCGTGGTGGAAACTGGCCAGAGACAATCACGGTACAGATCTTCAACACCTGTCAACCTGCACTTTCTGCTTTTGCCTGCTATTGCATTTCAGTAATACCTAAATAATCGTGAATAGTTCATGAAAACCGTACAAATCTATGGGGTAAGGTACAATACGCCACCCGGGGACCTTCCCAGAGCTCAAGCCTACAGTACGCTTAAGCTGGGAACACACAGATTGAAATTCGGCCAGTTCAGCAGGGACCAGTCTGAGTGCACATCCCTGTTCGGTAGATGGACTACTGTTGAACGGGACTGTTGAAAAAATTTAATTCGATCAGCTGCAACACTGCCCAGTGTATTCCGGCAGCAGAGGTCAGAATACAATAGCACAGTGGGCAGGATTCCTCCATCAGCCTTGCTTTTGTGGATGGGAGAATCCAATTTTTTTTTGGTTCGTTCAGCCCACGAGCTGAATAACAAAAAAAAAAAAGTATACCCAGCTTTATAAAAAAAAAAATCACTTATCTGAAAAGGGAAATGCTAAACGCCTATTAATAGTCGTTGGTGGCCTGATCTGTCCATGTATGCCGAGATCTAATAGACACAGCAAAAAATGGAAAGAGCAAAAAATGTAGGAAAAAGGTATTCAAAAACTTTTCAATCAAAGAGAAAAAGAAATTGCATTTGACAAATCAAACTAAACAATCTTGTGTATCTGTTTGTTGGTTAGTCACAAATATCATAAATAAGCAGTTCAGGAAAAGTAGCTCACTCTTTTGGTGATGACATATATTAGACGGCAATAATAAGGCATCTTTAAACTGGAAAGATTTGTGTCTAATACTCTTTTTTTTTTTCTTTCCTGTGCCTCTCTGTTTCTTTCTGTCTGTCCATTTCTGTATCTCCCTCCCTCTGTCTGTCTCTGCTTACTTCTCTCTCTCCTTCTCTATCTCTATGTACTTCTCTCCCTGTCTCTGCGTACCTCTCACCCCCTTTTTCACGACACAACCTCTCTCTCTCTCTCTCTTCCCATCTTTCTCTGCATACTTCTCTCTGTCTCTGTGTACCTCTTTCTCTCTGTTTTTTCTGTCTTTCTGTACCTCTCTCTCTGTTTACTTCTCTGTCTTCTTCTCTGTCTTTGCATGTCTCTCTTTTTCTGTATACCTCAGTCTGTCGGACAGCCTCTGCATACCTCTCTTTCTCTTTTTCTCTATCTCTGAGTGTATCTCTCTTTCTGTCTTTCTCTGTATACCTCTCTTGCTTTCTGCATCTCTCTCTCTGTACCTCTTTCTGTACCCCTCTCTCTATCTCTGTACCCTTCTACCCTTACCTCTTTCGGTACCCCTCTCCCCATACTTCTTTCTCTCTCTCTGTACTTCGTTCTCTCACTCTGTACCTCTCTCTTTCTGTACCTTTCTCTCTGTACCTCTCTCCCCGTACTTTTCTCTCTCTCTATGTTTCTCTCTCCACCCCTCTCTCTGTCTCTGTACCCCTCTCCCTGTCCTTCTTCTTGCTCTCTCTCGGTACCCCTCTCCCCGTACTTCTTTCTCTCTCTGTACTTCGTTCTCTCGCTCCGTACCTCTCTCTTTCTGTACCTTTCTCTCTGTACCTCTCTCCCCGTACTTCTCTCTCTCTCTCTGTACCCTTCTCTCTGTCTCTGTACCCCTTTGCCCGTACTCTTTCTCTCTGTACCTCTCTCTCTGTACCCTTCTCTCTGTACCCCTCTCTCTGTCTCCGTACCTCTCTCCCCGTACTCTCTCTCAGTACCTCTCTCTCTCTGTACCCCTCTCTTTCTCTCTGTACCCCTCTCTTTCTGTACCTCTTTCTCTCTCTGTACCCCTCTGTCTCTGTACCCCTCTCCCCGTACTCTCTCTGTACCCCTCTCTCTGCATCTCTCTCTCTCTCTGTGTACCCCTCTCTCTGCACCTCTCCCTCTCTGTACCTCTCTTTGTTATTATGGCTGTCTCTTCGTACCACTCTGTTTGATTTTCCCGTTCTGTTTCTGCATACTTTTTCTCTCTGTCTCTACATACCACATGCTCTCTTTTTCTCTGTCTGTCCCTGAATTCCTCTCTCTTCCTCTCTGTTTGTCTCCAGTTTTTCCTCTGTTTGCTTCCATTTCTGTGTTTCCTTTCCCTCTCTTTCTATCTTTGCACACTGCGACTCTTATGTATTTGGAGAATAAAAAACTCAAAACAAGTGTACTTATAGAAATTGGCACATTTTTCTTCCTGAACCCATCTTTATTACCCCCCTCCTTCTCAACCTTCCCTATGTCTATACATGGATCGAAATGTGGCTGTTTTAGCAGAGACCAGCTGAATCTCAATCCAGGTATAAGCGGTTTGGTTGTACATAAGTGGATACCAGTTGACTTCTGTAAACCACCCTGTTTGGTGTTCCTTGCTCGATCAGCACCGCAGGCAATAGCCAGGAGCTCTGATCAGTGTGTTCTGGTGTCCAGGAAGCCTCCCCACTGTCAGAATACAATAGTTCAGCGGGAGGATTCCTCATCCACATTGGACATACAGTTGTGTCCAAAATTATTCAACCCCCAATGCTGTAAAGGGGTTTAGGGACTATAGTGTACATTTGGAATTGTATTCAGAATCAAATCCTACAAGGACGTTGTAACTACCCAAATGCAACTAAAATGACATCAATTGTTTATGTAATACAGTAGTAAATGGTTCTTATGTGGTTTCTTCATTGCCACAATTATTCAACCCCTTAAAGACTACCACTCTGAAGAACAGAGGTTCATACAGGTGCTTTCCATCAGGTATTGAAAACACCTGTGGATGTCACCGAGCAGCAATCAAGCATAATAAGCACCAATTAGGCAGCTTTAAAATGACTGTGATACTCAGCTCCTTCTAGACATTTACTGGTGTGGTTACAAACATGGTGAAGGCAAGAGAATGGTCCAGGAAGACAAGAGAAGAGGTGATTTCTCTTCACAGGAAGGGCAATGGCTATAAGAAGATTGCAAAGATGTTAAACATACCAAGAGACACCTTAGGAAGCATCATTCGCAAATTCAAGGCAAAGGGCACTGTTGAAACGCTACCTGGTCGTGGCAGAAAGAAGATGCTGACTTCGACTGCTGTGCGCTACCTGAAGCGTAGAGTGGAGAGAAGTCCCCGTGTGACTGCTGAGGAACTGAGAAAAGATTTGTCAGATGTGGGTACAGAAGTTTCAGCCCAGACAATAAGACGCACACTGCGTAATGAAGGCCTCCGTGCCAGAACTCCCAGGCGTACCCCCTTGCTGTCTCCAAAGAATAAGAAGAGTCGACTGCAGTATGCCAAAAGCCATGTGGACAAACCACAAAAGTTGTGGGATAGTGTTCTGTGGACTGATGAAACAAAATTAGAACTGTTTGGGCCCATGGATCAACGCTATGTTTGGAGGAGGAAGAACAAGGCCTATGATGAAAAGAACACCTTGCCTACTGTGAAGCATGGTGGAGGGTCAATCATGCTTTGGGGCTGTTTTGCTTCTGCAGGTACAGGGAAGCTTCAGCGTGTGCAAGGTACCATGAATTCTCTTCAGTACCAGGAGATATTGGATGGAAACGTGATGCAGTCCGTCACACACCTGAGGCTTGGGAGACGTTGGACCTTTCAACAGGACAATGATCCCAAGCATACCTCCAAGTCCACTAGAGCATGGTTGCAGAGGAAAGGCTGGAACATTTTGGAGTGGCCATCGCAGTCACCAGACTTAAATCCGATTGAGAACCTCTGGTGGGACTTAAAGAAAGCAGTTGCAGTGCGCAAGCCTAAGAATGTGACTGAACTGGAGGCCTTTGCCCATGAAGAATGGGCGAAGATACCCGTAGATCGCTGCAAGACACTTGTGTCAAGCTATGCTTCACGTTTAAAAGCTGTTATAACTGTAAAAGGATGCTGTACTAAGTACTAAGATTGAATGTCACTTGGGGGTTGAATAAAACTGATAATGCTGTGAGCACAGAAAAGACATTTGTGGTTATTTCATTATAACTGTTATTTATATTTGTCTGACCTACAAGTGCCTCTTTAATGTAAATGTAAGCAAGATGACTGAATGATCAAAAGCAATGTCAAACTGGCCAAAACACTCAATTTCAGTGGGGGTTGAATAATTTTGGACACAACTGTATGGATGGGGGAATCAAGTCATTTTGTTTGCATTCAATCTGCTGGTTGAACGGGAAAAAAATGACTAGTCTATGAGCTGCTTTTGTCTCTCCTTTCAAACTGATCAGTCTTTACATTTTACACTTTCAGGTAATCATTTGCTTGTCACTCACACACACACATAAAAATACATGTTAGACCTCATTAAAAGTAATTGTGAGAAAAAAGTTTTATGGCCAGTTTAAGAACAGGAAAAATCTCTGGATTGGCCATTTGTAGTGGTAAAAGCTAACCATACACAGATTATTGTTTCAGCCTGATGGACAAATCTCCCACAATGGTTATTGTATCCTGACATCCAGTACTAGCAGTTGGTTGGATACAGTGGGCAATCCTATGTTTGGCTCCTTTTATTTTTCAGTTGCAAAAGGGCCTTCCAGGTACTGAATTTCGTTCGGTTGCTCAGGAACTGTATGAAATTTACATAGTGTATGGTAAGCTTTAGTTTAGAGTGAGGTGATACTGTTGTTTTTAGTGCCACGTTTGACAATTGTAGTTTTCACTTTATTAATTACCGAGTTTTGCCTGAAATTCTATAAAAAATAAAGGTTGAAAAAAGAAAAACAAAAAATTATCAGCAGAAAAACAAACTACTTTTCAGTTCCTTAAACGTCTGCAAAGCACAGATTCTGAAATGCTTTTCCCCAGCAACTGGTGACATCAAGCAGTTCTAGAAATTTCATTTGGCAGCTGAAGAAAGCAGTCAGTAAAGTTTAACACGCAGTTTCCCTGGAATTTTTCATAGGAGCCATGCTCAACCAGGGTTCAATGAAACTCCAAGGCTCCTACAGAAGTTGCTAGGGTTTCCCTGAGTTGTGACCTCTTATCTGATGGGGCATAGTTCCAGGTTCAAAGCCACTTAAC